TGTTAAAGTGGGACCAACCACAAAGTGTCACAGAAATCAGAAGCTTTCTAGGACTGGCAGGCTACTATAGGAGATTCATTAAAGGCTTTTCGCAGATAGCTATGCCCTTAACCAGACTAACTAAAAAGGACCAACCGTTTGTTTGGACTGAGAAATGCGAAGCAGCCTTTCAGACTTTAAAGACCAAGTTGACCATCGCACCGGTACTTGTGATTCCAAACCCTACACAGTCTTTTACTTTGTATACTGATGCTTCTAAGAAGGGTCTTGGGGCTGTATTAATGCAAAATGGTAAGGTAGTTGCTTATGCTTCTCGACAATTGAGGCCGCATGAGGAAAACTACCCTACTCACGACTTGGAATTGGCAGCAGTCGTATTTGCATTGAAGATTTGGAGGCACTATCTCTATGGTTCGCAGTTTGAGATTTTTAGCGACCATAAGAGTTTGAAGTACTTGTTTGATCAAAAAGAACTTAACATGAGACAAAGAAGGTGGATGGAGTTTCTTAAGGATTATGATTATGAGCTAAAGTATCACCCAGGGAAGGCAAACATTGTAGCAGATGCTTAAGTAGAAAATCTATCCATGCAGCCCAGTTGATGGTCAAGGAGTGGAACCTACTGCAGGAGGTGCAAAGTACACCTATTGATATAATGTCTGGGTTAGTTGCTACCATGAAAGCACTAACCATTGAGAGTACAACTTGGAAGGAAATTAAAATTGCCCAGTTGGAGGATGAGTATCTACTAGGGGTTAGGGAAGAAGTTGAACAAGGAAAAGAGTCCAAGTTTAATATTGGTGAAGATGGGATACTAAGATATAAAGCGAGGGTGTGCCTCTCCAATGATAAAGAGTTAAAGAAGCTACTACTTGATGAAGCTCATAGAAGCAAATATACTATCCACCCTGGAGTGACCAAAATGTACCATGATCTAAAGCGAAACTGGTGGTGGCCTAGTATGAAGAAAGATGTAACTGAGTTTGTCTCTCGTTGTCTAACTTGCCAAAAGGTCAAGATTGAACACCAGAAGCCTCCAGGATTATTGCAAAATCTAGAGATTCCAGAATGGAAGTGGGATAGTATTTCCATGGACTTTATCACAGGTCTTCCTAGAACTCAATCTGGGCATGATGCTATTTGGGTGATTGTTGACAGATTGACTAAATCAGCTCATTTTCTAGCCATCAAGACAAATTACTCTTTGGAAAAGCTAGCACAGATCTATGTGAAGGAGATCGTCCGATTACATGGCATACCAAAAAGTATTATATCAGATCGAGACCCACGATTCACTTCAAGGTTTTGGAGATCGTTGCAAGACGCCATGGGAACACGGTTGAGGTTTAGCACCGCCTATCATCCCCAAACTGATGGACAAACAGAGAGAACTATCCAGACGCTTGAGGACATGTTAAGAGCTTGTGCAATTGAATTAAAAGGAAATTGGGATGATCACCTTCCTTTAGCAGAGTTTGCTTACAATAATAGCTTCCACTCAAGTATTCAGATGGCGCCTTATGAAGCATTGTACGGAAGAAAGTGTAGATCTCCACTTTGTTGGACAGAGTTGAGCGAGAGAAGTTTGATAGGTCCAGAACTGGTGGATTATACAACTCAGAAGATTAAGATGATACAACAAAAGCTGCTTACTGCCCAAAGCAGACAGAAAAGTTATGCAGATAGGAGAAGACGACCATTGGAATTCATGGTAGGAGACCATGTATTTCTAAGAGTCACACCGATGACGGGTATTGGAAGATCAATTCGAGCAAAGAAACTCACTCCTCGTTTCATAGGTCCTTATGAAATTTTGGAGAGAGTAGGACCAGTGGCTTACAGAATTGCCCTACCTCCACAACTGGCCAATATTCATAATGTATTCCACGTGTCACAACTCAAGAAGTACCACCCAGATCCATCTCATGTGATTGAGCCTGAAGAGATCGAGTTACAAGAGAATCTTACTTTCAAGGCCGAACCTGAACGCATTCTGGACGCTAAGGATAAGCAACTTCGGAATAAAACTATTCGGTTACTTAAGGTTTTCTGGAAAGGAATGTCTCCTGGAGATGCCACCTGGGAAACCGAAGAGCGAATGCGGCGTGATTTTCCTAACTTGTTTGATTAGGAAGAGTTGGTACTATGTTAGTTTTGATTATTGTACTATGTACTTGTACTTATTATACTTGTGGTGCTTTTGATGTGTAGTATAGACATTTGTGTTTGTGTCTGTTGCTTGAAGTAAACTCTTTCTCTTCGTGTATCGAATTTTGGGGACAAAATTCTTTTTAGGTGGGAAGAATTGTAACATACTAGCTTTTTCTATAAAAAAAAAATTGTAATCAAATATATATAAATTTTATTAGTAAAAAAAAAAAAAAACCAACCCCCTTTTTCCACGGAGAGTTGAAAATTTGGGGGGGGATTTATTAAGAAGGGAAAAGATGGGGGGAAAGTGGCGTAAGTTGAAAAGAGGGGAGGAGTATTAAATGGGGCAAGAAAAAAAGAAAGAAAGGAACGGACAAAGGAAGAATGTTGGGAAAGAATAGTAAATGAAGGTGGAAAAATTGGCAATAGTATTAATTGAAGAAGGAAAAAGGGAGGACGCATGTTGGAAAAAAATGGGGTATAGTACATGGAAGGAGAATTTGGGGAGGAGTAGTAGTAAATGATAGAAGAAAAAGAAAGGGGAAGGTACGGATGGAAGTGGAAATTGGGTGGAGGACGGTGGAGAATTACATGTGAGAATATTATATATCCTCATCCCGGTTGTTTCTTGCAAGCTAGAGGAAGAGAGACGGAAGAGGAAGAGAGCGAAAGAAGAGAAAAGAGAGTGAGAAGTAGAGAGGAAAGGGGAGAGAGAGCTGAGTTGCAGAGTACCTAACAGTTTTGGAGATCATTTAGGTACACAAAACTACTTCTTGTTATCATATTTTCTTTATGAATATTTCCTATATATTTATATCTTTATATTATTAGTTTCATTATCATGTTTAGAGAAAATTTTACGGTTTGGGTATAGAGTAAATATGGAGTTTTGACAATATATGACCGTAGAAATTTAAAGATACATTATTAAGGAATTTTAATCGGTTCATTTTTGTTGAATGATTATTTTGAGAATTTTAAACTAAGATTTTAGTTGAAAAGTTTGTTATTTAGACTTGTAATATGTTTTTACCGATTAAATTTGAGTTAAATAATTTATTTGAGTTATTTAATATATTATTGAGGTTTTAATCGGTTTAAATATTGAATAAGTTAAAGATATATTGTCGAAATAATTTTTGAAAGCTTGAAAAATTGTAAATTGAGAATTTGGTGAAATGAGATAGAGTTACAGTTTGTTTATAATTTAAAAAAATTGTTTGGTTTGAGAAAAATTTTTTAAATGAGATTATAATAAATAATTGAGAATTTTAATACGAAATATTTAGATTTTGGGTAATAAAAATATATTCACTTAAGTTGTTAAATTTAAATAGCCTTATATGTAAATTATTTCAAAATAATATCTATTATAAATGCCTAGATTTGGGAGAGTTAATATATTTATGTAATTTTGGTTTAGAGGGTAGTCTTAGAATTTTAGAGTAGCTTTGGAGTAGTTCTGAGTTTATATTAATAAATATTTATGTGCAATTTTGTAGACTTGAGAATTTTGGAGTAATCTTTGTGTGAATATTTGTAAGCTAAAGAGTACCAGGTAACTCTGAAAATTCTTTCTTGTACATGTGAATTGTGTATGATTATATTGTGGATTTACTAATTATTATATTCCTGAAATATAATATTATGTTTTTTTGTAAAATAAATGTTTTGGTATGTTACATGATTTTATTAAGATTTGTTGCTAGTAATTATGATCAATATTTAAATATATTAATAGCTATGAAATTATCATGAATTGCTATTAAATGGTATATAAGTTTTATTGCTATCTTATTTTTAAGATATGTGAGGAAGTATTTATGATGTAACATTGTTGGCATCTGACATGCATTGTTGGACTAAGGATAGAAGGAGATTGCATGGATATAAAATTACCACGTGGTATGCCATCACTCGGTGCACAGTGGATGGCACTTGTCAGGGCCCCTTCTTCCATGTTTTCCTTTGGCCGGGAATTCATTGGAGTTGTGGGACATGTGACACCTCCCTATTCACAAAGGAGGGGAGCCATAGTCCGAGCTTGAGCTCTATATCTTTGGCCGGATATATCTCTTGTATCGGTGAGCTTGGAATAATTCAGTAAAATGGATTAGTTCCTATCGGACTATGTGTTAGCCTATGGCTCCAGTCAGCGGTATAAGGGTGGACGGTGATATAAGGGAGGCAGCATATTGCATTATTTTTGGATATGTTAGAAAAAAAATGATATTGGTATATTGTTGGAAAAAAAAATGAAATTGAATTGGATGTCTCAAATCCGTGATTTTTTTAATATATTTATACACATATATAAACGGATTTTTGGTTTATCATATATGATTTGCTTGTATAGGTTAGAATTTCAGTAGTTACTGAGACGTTGGATCTCACCCCCTATATTAACAATTTTCAGGCGAAGGTTCTAGTAGGAATCAAGGGAAGGCACCAATGGAGTGAGCCGTGAAGGCTTTTGTGCTCCTCAAGCACATGCTATGTTATATTTTTTTGCCATGACTATAAGACTTTAATAGTTTATGTTGTTAAGTTATGTTAGAAATGTTTTGAAATTTTAACTTAATTGCAGTATTAAAAATATGTATGGACTTTTAAATTAAATATTTTATTGCGTATATTGATATAATTATGTGAGGTGTTACAGAAGGTGCCCATGACTGTGGTCCAGTTGCAGCGACAGACCCAAAAAGTTGAGTCAAGTCAGCCCGAAATTGAAGTCCTCTTTCTCTAAATTTCTCGTAGCCTGGAACTTCCTGCGCATTCAACACCAAAAAAATTCTTTATTATGAGAAAAAATGTTAACATCAGAGAAATTGCAAGCTCAAATGAAGTTAAATGATTACCACTATTTTCCTCTTCCACCAATCATCAGGGGCACTAACTGTATTCCTTTCCGCATCCCACCCCAAACCTGTCTCACGGAGCAGCCTATCCCATAACTGCCACTCCTTTCGCAGAGAGTCAAATTTGTTCTTTAATTGGATTTTTGTATAAGCTCTCCCAGTCTTTGCGGTGAAGTTGTCCTCAAGACTTGACCAAGCAGGCTTGGTCAAGCTAGTTCCTTTTCTTCCCCCTTTCTCAACTTCTTCAATGCATAGGTTAATAAAGACTTTTGTGGCTCTTATATCCCACGAAGCTTTTCCATTTTGTTTACTCATGATGCTATGGACCAATTACAACATTTTAGTTATCACAAGTTCAACCCAAAAAACATTCCATTCAATTTGGAGATATGATATAACATGCATAGTATTTAACAAGTATAGCCACATGTTCTATACCATTTATGTCAAGTTAATTGAAGTAAAACATTAAGGTGAACAAAACAGATCCTTTGTCTTCAATAAAGCACAAAAAATGAGAACTAATCAACAAAAGAGTGCAGCAACCGTGAACAAAAAATTCCAAGCAACCGTTTCAGCTACTCTTATTCCAAAAAATTTCACCTTTGCGGAAAACTGGTATATGCTATAGCGACAGGACATTTTACAATACGTGAGAAAAATTTCAATGTTCTGTGTCCAAAATAAAATCCAACAAAAATAATATAAGATCAACAAATAAGAATTCCAGCAGCACAAACATCCACAACCGACCAATGCTCTGCCTCTCATACCCACACAGACGAAGCCACACGATGTCTCTCATACACACACACGAAGCCACACGATGCTCGGTCTGTCATACGCACACACACAAGCCATAGCCAGTCACAAATTCCCGAACAACCATACTCGTACACACACACACAATTCTGATCAATTGTTCCAGAAGGGCCGACGGCAACTCACTCTGGCAACAAGTCGACTAGAGTTTCTGAAGGCACGATGGCAGCTCAACGATGGCAACAACTGGTCGGGTTTCGGACGGGACGACGGCAACTCACCGGATTTGATCAACCCACATGATGCTCTGTCTCTCACACACACATACACGAAGCCACAACCAGTCACAACCAAGCGAACACCCAAGAGTTTCACCGAAGAAGAGGAGAGAGCTCACCTGAAACGCTAGATCTGAGCAATGGAACCAGACACGGTGACCTCAGCAAACGATGACCGAACGAACTGAACACGGAAGAAGATCTTGTTAATCGAATGTGTGATAAAATTTCAGAACGAGCGACGGAAACTCACCGGTGGCAACAAGTAGACTGGACTTTCAGCACGGGTGATGGCAACTCACAACCTTGGTCGAGTTTCGGAAGCTACGACCCAGTGGCAGCAAGTTCGATCTAGAGGCAGGCAACTCACCGGTGGCACAAAGTCTCGGTCGACTTTCTCAGAAGGGGCGACGGCAGATGCAAGCTGAGAATGGGAGAAGAGGACGGTCAAATTGATCGATTTTCTCAGCAGGGGCGACGGCAGATGGAGAATGGGAGAAGAGGAAATTGTCGATTTTGGAGAGAAGGGGCGACGGCAGATGCGCAGCTGAGAGGGAGAAGAGGATGGTCAGTTCGGTCGAATTTCTCAGGGGCGACGGCAGATGCGCAGCTGAGAGGGAGAAGAGGATGGTCAGTCTCGGTCGAATTTCTCAGGGGCGACGGCAGATGCGCAAGCTGAGAGGGAGAAGAGGATTGTTCACCGTTCCGCAAGCTGAGAGGGAGAAGAGGATTGTTCACCGTTCAGTGCTCTGACAATAATAATTATTACTGTAACGACTAGTTTTCAATCTTCAGAAGCGAAAAATTCTAGCTTATCGTGAAACCTTGGTTTGGCCGTGCAAAACCTTGGTTTTCTCTGAAACCTTGGTTTTGCAAAAAATGAGGGTGTTTGGCAATCTTTTTACCCAAACCATGGTTTGGGCCTCAGAATTGATTCTACACAGATTGCCAAACACCCCCTAAGAGAATTTGATTTAGTTGCATATCGTCCATTCTGTTCTCTCTATAAAGATACTGCCACATGAGGGAAATACTGGTACAAAATCTTCTCCCTCCTCTGTCCAAAACTAATCAAGCAGCTTTTGGTGCTTTTGACTTCTGAGGGAACTGTCCATTTGAACCAGAAAGTTGTACCATGCATAATTATCGAGGAGACACAGTGCTCCTTATTCTACACACACACAATTGTGATATGATAGGGTGGGAAATTATCGAATAATAACAATCAATAATGAATTTTTCTCTAATATGCTGCAGCCTTGAAGTATAAATCAGGTCCGCAAGCTCAGCTTTTTTCAGCTGAAGTTCATGTGACCAGACCAACGACTATTGGCAGCGTTTGACGTTTGTAGTTCCTTGCGAACTCGTTCCACTTGCTGGCTTTTATCGGCTTTATGGGCACTGTGTTTCTCGCGAGCATCATGTTTTTTTGTACCACCTCTAATGCAATCATTAATATAAAAATTAGTTGAAGGATCGAAATTAGTTTTAAATATAAGATTTTAATATATTTTACCTCTCAAATTTTAAATTGTTTTTTCTAAAATATTTTTACAAGTAATTTCAATACCTATGATTTAAGAGGGTAATCTAAGTCAACATATATCTATTATAATTAACTAATTTAACTAATTTTTTTTTAGTTTTATCAAATTGGTTATTCAATTTTTATCTTAAGAACCGGAAATAGTAATTTATTACTACTTTCTTTCCTTAATGTAAGATTCAGTTAATTAATTTGAAAAAAATTTAAAAAAATAATAAATAAATTGTTTTAAAATATTTACACTTATCTTTTTTTTCCAAATTAATTTGTCCTATTTAATAAGCACACAACTTTATGGGTTATAAGTCAACTGCTTTTCAATTAAGTAATTTTTATTAGCTAACTCAATTGAATTGATGATATAAAAGAGAAATTATGCCGTTTGAATTAGGAAAAATGATTTAAAAAGAAGAAGAAGAAGCTGCATACCGTTATTTGTAAATTCAGTATTGTCAATACCAAATAAAATGTTGTTATCAAATTTGATTTAGGATTTAGTAATTTTTAGCTTCTTTTTTTTAATCATTTTTTCTTTGAATTATGGGTTCCACCATCTATTGCTTCCTATGTAATGTCATCTCAGATTTTTTTTTCTTTTTTTGAAGAAGATACTTTTCAATGTATTAATAATCAGTGACAGACAAAGACAAAGATAAGGATCATCAACATTTAAATTTGTAAGTATGAATTGATGGCCAAAAAAATTGTAATTGTGAATTTTAACTTGCGATTGTGACTTCCACGTCAAGCTTTTTAGTAGATTACATTGGTCGTTTCTTTTGTTCTTTTTGTAACATAATAACTGAATTAATGTCTGGCCCAAAAAAAACCTGAATTAATGCATTCTTAATAATCATTTTAAATAAATTATTTATTATTTTCATCATATGAAAATACAAAATATTCCCGAACTAAAAAATAATTTATCTCTACTTCTACTTGAGAAATAATGTTATTTATTATTCTTACTTTTTAATAAAAATGATACCAAATTAGCATGATTTAATTTGCATCTGAATACAATTTTAATTTTATAAACTCTTTTAATTATTTATTGTACTTCAAAAGTTCATTAATAAGTATAAACTTTTATTAATTTATGATACAAAGGATACAAATCTACTTTACAAGTTTTTTTTTAATCAATTTACAAAAATGACATTATTTTTATAAAGTATAAACATTATGAGATGTTTGGTTGAGCTGAACAATGCATTCACGTAATTCGAGATAAAACTTCTACTTATTTTGTATATCATAAAATTCTTTTAAAATTATGGTCTGACTTCCACCCAAAAACAACTTTAGTTCATTTTCTCAATCTTAGAAAAGTAGTTAATGGGATTCTATAAAAAAGAACTGACAAAGTTAAAAAACTTGATTGAAATTTAAGAGATGAAAGTAAAACATCAAATATAATTAACTAACTAAAAGTACACCTGTGCATAAAATTTGTTCTATCAAGGGTACTCGTTTGTAACAGGTTATAGAGTTTGAGGGACTTATCTTACGTTTAAGAAACCCTTCAGGAATTATATCTTTCAACCACCAAATTCCATATTTATTCCAAAGTTATCCCTTCAAGCCTCATATAGCATTCCAACTTCAATCCTTTGCTGTAATGGAACCCTCAGAGCAGGCAATCCAGACCGGCAATTGTTATGCAAGAATTCATAAAATGCAAGCATAATTCTGTCAAACCAGCCACAGTTAGGGCCGATATGAAACCGAGTTTTTCCACGAACATGAACCACGCCGGCAGACCGTGCTTCTTCTAACCTGGAAATCTCTTGTTCTATCTCATGAGGATCAAATGGGACATGGCCATTGCATCTCTTTATATGTTGCATCAAACTACTAGTCACTTGAGATAAAAAATCATCTTCTAGGTTCAAAGAATCTGCATAGCCATACTGAATCACACAACCGTACACCCCTTTGGGGCTCAATTTGTTTACGACAATCCTGTCACGTGGATCAACCTTGGGGACCAACAGGTACCTAAGAGTTGTGAATATTGTGACCTTATGGAAGGATTTCATATTCTTCATGTAGTGTCCTAGTATAGGAGTCAGACCATCTTGAATGTTAGTATAAAAGAAGCATAAGCCAGGCACTGTTTGAATGCTGCGATCTGCCAAAAGCATTTCAAGTCTGTCCAAGGTTATCTTGTGGGTTAACTCGTACTGGACCTTTCTTTGTCTACCATAAAACCAACCAAACATGATGATGGCAAGGATAAAGGAAATGGCGAAAGGAATCCATCCACCTTCAAGGAGCTTAGTGAAAACCGCACTGACATAAACCCCTTCCACCACAAAAAACACACAGAAGTATAGAGCTACCAGAATAGCGGGAGTCCTCCATATCATGATCATGACTAGTGTAAGTAATATAGTGGTGATGAGCATCACTAGACTAACAACAACACCTGCAGCAAAAGCCGGTAAGGTACATGAGTAATCATGAAGTAAATATTACGGAATCTTACCAGTACTAAATAGATGCAAGGTAACATACCGAAAGCATTTCCAATATCTTTTCCATCCCCAAAAATAAGTATGACAGCAACACAAAGGACCATGAGGATGTAGTTCACTTCAGGTGAGTAAACCTCTCCCTCTTTACTAGGCGATGTGTGTAGGATCTTTACCCGGGGAAAATAATCCAGCACAACAGATTGCTTGATTACAGAAAAGGTGGCTGATATCAATGATTGGCTGGCAACAACTGCAGCGGATGTTGCAATAACAAAGATAGGCCAGTAGATTGGAGCTGGTATAAACTTGTAGAACCCATCATCATGATCATTGGGATTCTTGATGAGGTAAGCTGTCTGTCCCGCATAAGTCAGAACTAAAGATGGGTAGATTGTGAATAAAAATGCTATCTGTGAAAAGGAGGAAAATATGAGGATGGCTACAAGCTGAAACAGAAGCATAATGTAAGCTTTAAAAAATAGGTCAAGCATAATGAAAGCCAACCTGAATGGACCGCTGGTTAAAATGACCAAGATCAGCAAACATTGCCTCGGAACCTGTCAACATTATGAAATTTCTAAGAATTAAATGAAAAAGACATTTATAAACACAAGAAATGGAGATATTATGACTTATTATTATTCGCTTGCATTTAAATTTAGGTGAAAATTTTGCATGGAAATCATGATTCCATGTATTGACCATCATAAATTATTCAAGAAAACAAGAACTGGACTGGATGTATAGTACCAAAAAATACTCTTCAGACTTTAATGCAGAGATATGATGCTCAAAGAACAACCACAGTGAAAAAGATAATGAAACCTAAAGGCATCTTCTGAGACTTTTGCTAGGATTATAGAAGATTTATTTTATTATTGTAGATGTTACACCTTTATTGTAGGGACAGGATATTATTCTGTATTTATGAGCCACTAAAGCAAATAATCCTCTCTCTTGTGTGTGTGTGTGTGTGTGTATCCCTCTCCTCCTAATGAATAAAAGTCATAATTCAATGATATATGTCTAGAACTTTAAATAATCCTAACGTCCATTTAAACCTTAAAGGAAAGGTGAATCTTCCCAAGCCAAGTAAAAGGTACCAAATATTTTAAGTGATAATTATATTCGACAGAAAGAATTGACTTGATCCCCGTCTTATAGTGTTTGACATATTCTGAGTACTGGTTAGTGGTTACCCTCAAAATTTGCTTACAAGATTCTGGCCTTTTAGTGTTTGACATATTCTACGAGTGCTGGTTACCCTCAAAATTTTCTTACAAGATTCTCTTTTTGGTCAAAAGAGCAGATAAATTATCAAGTTTATGGCCTTGCTGGCCACAAGAACTAATGTAAAGCAAAAAGCATAACATAAAAATGCATGTGGCTAGACTAGGGGTTCTTCAAAGATAAATTTCTCACTTCTATGTCATGCATTAAGGATAAGACATATACCTGTGATGCAAAGGACTGTACCACCAAGTAAAAGCCATCCAGTTTTTCCGTTTTCCCAAAAGAAATGGAATATGTAGTGCGGTGATAAAGCCTTGAATATACTTGGATAGTGGCGTATGATGCTGTAAATTCCCACAAGTGGGGTGCAAAAGGTCCATGCACCCATTATGGGGGAAAACAGGAAACTCACACGGGATGTACCATATTTCTGCAACAAGAACAGCAAGATCAAGACAACTGCTGAAAGTGCTTCCACGAGTGCTGCAACAGCATGTACAACAAAAAGATTCAGAAGAGAAGAAAAGTCATATAATACAGAAAGCAAACCGTACAACAAAGTTACAGACTGACTTAAGCTATATTGCCTCGTATATTATGATAACATCGGTAAGCTTTCACTGAAGATTTTGTCAGCTTGAACGTACCATTGTAATTGATCAATTGGCCATATTAAATCAAATTATACTTAGTTATTTAAATTCTAATCATCAATTTATTCACGAGAGACCTTAAAGAAGCATGGTGATCAAAACTCAAAAGCTTCTAATTGTTCAGCACACAGTACTCTAAAAATCAACGAATGCTTCCTGCGTGATTTTAACATAATCTCCAATTCTTGAACACAGTAGAGAGAAATGAAATGCCACTTATCAACATATGGCAATGAAAGTTGTGTGATGTAGTCCACTGCTACCAATTACCACAATCTCTCCAATGTTTGCAATATGTGTGTGCGCGTGCGTGCGTGCGTGTGTGTGTAACACTTATTTTTGTAAATATTTGTTAGGGCTGCTGGCCAATAGTGATGGAATATTTTCTGCTTGACAATAAAATAATAATATCAGCTTGTTTTAGAAAACGAAATCATTCTTTTATGTAAAGTTGTCTTTGTGCCAATCCAAGCAAGTGGCAATAAAATCATCCAGTGCTCGTAATTTTCCAACTAATGAATTTGAAAAATCTCAAGCTCATGGCCTAGTAATATTGGCTGAAGAACTTACATTTGCTGACGGAAGGAAAAGGGGCTCTTAGTCCATCAATTGCTGACAAAACTGGGAATAAAGTTACAAGTTGAATCAAACATCTACATAATAAAAGCCACTGCATTATTTTTTACTGAAATATTGAAAAAATACAACATTCTGAGGCAAACCTGAAATTGCAGGTGTAAGTATGCCATCACCTATAAGCATGCATGTGCCTAACATGGCAACAAAGAGTAATACCCTTCGAGCAACTAGACTTCTTTCAAAAAATTTCCCAAGCCTACTCTGTGTTTCAGTGCCCCTTTGCATGTTTGAACTGGCACTTGAGAGTAAATGTGATCGCTTAGAAGGCAGGATTCCAATATTCAAATGCCTGCAAAGTAATGAATACAAGGCAAAAGTTCCACCTGCAATTCATCATGAGCTAAGGAAGTCAAGAGTCCATGGCAAGCACATTTTGGCCTGTATGTGTGTGAGCTTAGCTGTGTAGTGAGCTCAATTATTGAACCTTATATCACCAAAGTACAGTTACACAATGAACTAATCTAAAAAGCTTAGTTAATATCCCCTCATACAGCTTCAACCTGGGACATTGATTTAATAGATCATAACATGCTATTTAATTTACTACAGAAATCTATGGGAGGGAACTATGCTCTTCTAGCCTTTTCAAGAGAATAAAATTAACAGTGAATTTCGATTTTGTGTGTATACCTTCACCATGATCATCAGCTTTGATAGCTATGCTGGCATATTTTACAACCCCTATTAGAGTGAGAGTCCAGAACATGATGCTGTAGATACCCAGATAGTCATCTTCTGTTGGAGACTTCAATGGCATTGAAGGGTAAACATACAGCGGCGATGTCACAAGTCCGCCAAATACGACCCCCAAGGTCCTGTATGCAAGTACCAATGTTTTCCATGTACCCTTTTTCTGCCACAAACAATAACGCGCATAATTAAGCCCAAAGGAATTACAGACATAGAACGGAAATGACGCCATCAACCATCATGAACTTCAATGAACAACACAGACAAGGGAATAGGGGACTCCTTCTTAACAAAGTAATTACATGTATTGTTAGAGATGGAATGGAAATACAGACAAAGGAATGAAAATATACAATGTATCAAAGCATGCATGATACGATCACTTTATTTATACAAAAAGAAAACCGGGGCCAACGAAAAAAAAACTAAGCATTTAAAACATTCAGGCTGACCCCCGAATGAAAAATTCCAGCTTTTCAAATTTCCAAAACAAAGATACAGACAGACAAAAGAAAAAAAAACATAGAAACGACAGCTTGTCGTTGGGTTTGGGAATGAAGACATTGGCATGAAAGCGAAGAGAAAAGGGAGGAGAATAGACAAGAACCTCGGACAAAGGGAGTGAGGAGTGAGGAGGTTGGAGCTCGGGATCCATATCCATGTGCCGAAGAAGACGCAGAGACCACAAAACCGCACGATGGAGAACACTGCGGTCTACGCCGATGCTTGAGTATTTAACAAAGAAGTTATTCAAGTCTTCAACGTCGTAAGTGGTTCTATGGATATGATTACCCTTGTGGGCAATTTTTTCTTTCCTTCACCAGAAAACGTAGCTTGTGTTCGTATCGCCGTAAAGAGAACTATTAGGAGGGAACGTGGGGCCGGAGGGGGGCGCCTCTTGGCGCTTATAGGTTTTGCTGATTCGTCCACGCTCTAGTTTGTTGCTTTTGTGCATGATGTATGGACCGCAACAAAAGCTCCTAGACCTTTTTAGGCTATGGGTCCCAATTAAATCTGTTGTTATCTTTCTCAAAAGACTTATCGTAATCTTTTTTTTTTTTAAACAAACGTTCAATTTGATGTTTTTAAGTGATTTAAGGTATTTTAAAGTTTAAAATTTATTATTTTAAGGAACCTTAATAATTGAAAATATTCAATAACAAATTGTATTCTTTAAATGAATTTGACCTGTTGAAGTCTGTCTGCCAAGGGGAGAAAAGGAAAGGAAAGGAAAGGAAAGGAAAAGAAAAGGAATGAAAAGATCTCCAAATCTCTGGGCATAAAAACGCTTCATATGATTTTCTCAAATATCAACCGTAAAGAACTGGGATTGCCCAAATTTTTTTTATAATGGGAACTATTTTTAAGAACGTTTCATTTAAAAAAATTTCAAATTAAATGATGTATTTTTTTTTAATTTCTTACTATTATCACATATGATGATTTTCAGACGAAATATTATTATTATTGTTATATTACCTCCTATCCTTAAATATAAAATCTTAATTCTTTTTGTTTCTCAAAACTGTAACTTATTCTTTAAAGTATTGCTATTATTTACACATTTTAAGAGGTTTTCATCTAAAGATAGTTATCATTAGAAAAGATATTTTAAGAAAATCAATTCATATTTGATAAAAAAGTAACTTAACTAATTTCTTTACTCTATTCAAATTAATTACATAGCTTTTCTATTAAAAATCAGAACTAGCACTTCTGAAGATTTGCATATAGATTTAATCAAATTTAGTATTCTATCATTTAAATAAATAAATAAATTTTAATTTATATCAAATAAAAAATTTTAATCCCAAACTATGTATAAACAATGAATAGTCGTATGCAATGGAAGCTGGAATGTGGTGTATGAATAAATATAATTTATTACTAAGATGTTGGTTCTTAAAAAAAAAAAATGTTTTATCCTCTCAAAGTCTTAAACACAAGATATCAAGTTTATTAATATATTGAAAATGTCTCGTAAATATAGGATTAAATCTCGCCTTAAATACATTTTGATTAAATAAGAGATATAAACTTGACAATCTAGATTCTTCCTCTTTTGAAATTGTACTCCTCCGGTCCTTAATATAGGACCCAATTCTTGAGTTGGTTTTGGTCTTAAATATAAAACCCATTTCTCATATTTATCAATTTTCTCTAAATTAACTCTATAGATACTCCCTCAACCATAATCAAATAGAAAAGGGAGATGAAGTATTAAAAAAGATGATTATGGTGTTTTAGGAAAAATGTGTCACTTTTTTTATAATTAACTAACTTACCTAACTTCTTTAATCTAATCAAATTAATTAAATGGGTCCTATATTAAGGACCGGAGGAGTACATATTGGAGGTGCTATTTAGTACTAAAAATAGACATTTCTTTCCATAAAAAAATTTGTTTTTTGGTTGAGTTTAGACTATCCATGATTACTAGTAGTAGCTACTAATCTACTCACACTATAGACTTCTCAAAAAAAAACTTAGTGCTCGTCGTAAGACTCTTTTCACACACAATGTCAATGATTAAACCTTTAATTAGATGTTTAAAAAAATCTAGCTAAATGCTAGCTAATGAATTTAAATCTTGCATTGGTAATCGGGTTTTAAGTTGTTCATGAAAAGGTTGCTGTTAAAAGTGCGAGTTTCGTATTGGGCTCTTGTTCTCGTGCACACATGCATGTATTCTCCTCCCTTAGCTTGGCCTTTCTGGGGCCTCACCCAAACTTCACACATGAAACTGATGATGATTTATTTGAGTAACCCCAAAATCATTTTTTAAAAATATTTTTTTACAAATCAAGATAAATTTCTTCACATATTTATTTCGCATACTGTTAAAAACACTTTTAAAATTATGGTTTTGTTCTTAGCCAAGCATCTTGTTAGATCACACATTTTGGGTTGCAGGTATCTGGGCATATACTGTCAATTCTGGAATCCGTTCGTTCCTCTTGCCTTTGACTTTAGCCATGCATACGTAATTGACTTTTGGACGTCAATCAATTTCTAGGCAAAGAAACGCAGCCAATGATTACGTCTTTGTCAACTGGGAAAATTCGGTGGAAGTATTCAAATTTAATTTTTTAATAATATCTTGAACAATGTTTCAATAAACAAAAAACTACATGTCGGAAGAGCCCAAAAGCTCTGCAGTAAATTATTTCACTATTAATGATAATTATGGTCGTGAAAATTTATAGGAAATTTTTTGAAGAGTGGAGACAAATAATTATTTTTTAATTATTTCTGGTAATTAAATTAAGAATAATTGTAAATATATATAGTCGGCGGCATGATTTCTTATAAAACGAAAACACTATCATAGACATTTATAAATTGTGAAAAGGGAAATGACTTTGGGTATTTATCAAGAGTAAAGAGCACCTCGACTCACTAGATTTCAATGGTCGAAATTCAATTTAATTTTTATCTTTTAAAAGATTATTTTAGCTGGTGTAAAATAGGAAATAAATAATATATTTCAACTATTATTTTTTTAAAATAATTAATTGAAAATGTTAAACTTGCACATCCAATTAAATATGAACAATCTAAATTTGATCAGCATTTAAAAAAAAAGTACCCTAGATAGGGTGTGGAAAACGTATGCCTAGAATAACTAATGATAAATATAACATGCTTCTTTGGCCTTAAATGTAAGTATAAAATGGGTTTTACATTTAGTATCGGAGGAGCAGTAAAATGCATAAAAAAATAATGCAGTAAAAGTTTGTGTCAAATGTATAATTTTAAACAAATCACACACTTCTATTAAAAGCAAGGTAAAAAAAACCGGACCGGACCGGCCGGTTCGACCGGAAAACCGGTGAACCGGTGGCTGGTCCGGTCCGGGAGGCCAAAAAAACCGGCCTCAAGTTGAACCGGTAATAACCGGATCAAACCGGTAATAACCGGATCAAACCGGGCAACCCGGCGGTTTGATGGGTTGTCCGGTTTTGAATATTTTATTTTTTTTAATCCCCCAACCATTGAAACGGCGCCGTTTAGCAGTGAAATTTACAAACCAAAAAAAAAAAACAAACACGGTCTGGTCCAAATCGAACGACCTCGCTCGCCCTGCTTCAGATTCTCTCGCCGAGTCGCCGTCGCCACCCTCCCCAAAATCGAAAATCCCTAGCTGAATCACTCATTGTGCCGGAGTTTTCTCGCCATCGGAGGTCTCGGATCGTCGCGTCACGTCGTCGAGGTTGAACGTTGAAGCAGCCGGTGATCGTGGTTCAAAATATTTCTCTGCATCGCAGCCGCAGGTGGTCGCCTCCCATCGTCGTTGCTTCTTCCCGGTCGCAGAATCATCATCGGAGCTGCAGGTGGTCGCTTCTATGCTCTTGCCTCTTGTTGTCCGGTTCGTAAATTTCATTCAGTTAGGCTTAGATATCAAATCATCACCGTGCCCTGCTCTCGGTCACTGCTCATGTTTTGTGCGTTCTTGGGTTTGTTTTTCCGTTTGAATTCTCAAGTAGCTAGGCTTAGATAAAATGAGATTTGTTTCCTTTTTCTAATGTAGAACAATATCGTGTATGATGATATGAGATTTGTTTCCGGGAAAGATCATTTGATTCGTTTGAATGATGATATGCGTTCTTCGGTCATACAGTATACTGGTTGATTCAATGATTCGTTTACTTGGAACATTATTTGATTATTTGAATGATGATATCTGGTCAGCACAGAGGATTTGTTAACTGAAATTTGATCATACTGAATTTTGGCATGATGATATCTGGTCTGCACTCTGCATATCTGAATATTGGCATGATGATATATGGTCGTAAACTGAAAATTTATGCAAATGGTGTTTGAATATTAGATCCAAGTACTTAAAGTGCATATTTCATATGAAATCTGAATTTATCAATTTGATCTTTGATTTTTAATCAGTGATGTTATATTATCTGAGCTAATCCCATAGCAATGAACCCCAGATGTTTGATTTTTTTAATTTGTTATTTAGTAACAGTGATGGATATTTCAAGTAATCCAAGTTCAAGAAGTGACAATGTGACTCCTAATACGGGATCTTCCACTCCTAATACTGAAACTTCCACTCCTACACCCACTTCTTCATTACGTACCAAAACTGATCCTGCATGGGCACATATTGCATACAAAAAAGAGGGGACACAGAATATTGTGGATTAAATTATATTATTTTAATATGACCGGTCCGACCAGTGACCCTTGACCCACTGCCTCGACCGGTTTAGCTCCCGGTCCGGTTTTTTGTTCCTTGATTAAAAGCAAATATGCTTAGTATAACCTAAACATCCAAAATAAGAAAAGAATGACATCTTTCAAAAGAAGCCAAACCACATGGCTTCAAGGGCCAACGGTACTGGCTTATTGGAAAAAGTGAAGCGAGCTAATTTCATACGTTGTGTATCCCTAAAACGGACATTAGGTTCTTGAATAATTAACTCGTCCTGTTCCTTTTTTAAAAGAATGAGTTTGTAAATTTTACATTCTTTTATCCTTCTTTTAATAAAAGGATCCAATTGTACATACTATAGGTAATAAGTAGGGAGAATTACAATGAGATCCTAAATAAAGAAAACAATTAAAAAACAAGTTATAGAACTTGTTATTATAGGCTGTTGAGATTGTTATTAAGATTTTTTAGTAATTATTTCTCTTCTATGGGACTTGATTGTAATTCCCTCTAATAAGTAAAACGAGTACATTAAGTTCTGCATAACTGATCCATTCCCATCTTTATTTCTTTTTAATTTGATCTAAACATTTTAAGTGTTGCTTCATATGCTGGC